CTCTGGGGTATATCTGCACCGTTGCTGCAAGGTTCCCTATAAAAACCAGCCATTAATATCTAGAAGCTGTACCTTCATTTACAAGTACCTGGATCTGACAGTACCACTAACCTTCAGAACTTGTGTGGGGCTACAGGCTTGACATTGGGCAAAAGCTGTGTAACAGAAATTGCATATTGTGCACCAGTCACGAAACACAGAGCAGGATGCCCATGGATTTTATTTCCTCAGGAGCCAGTAACATCATTACAGGCTGAAAAAAAGCAATTGGCTATCACTGAAAGCCTGCAGCTCAAGTCTAGTGATTCCGTAGTGACTGGCGTTTGAAAATAAACCCAAAACCTTGAAAGACAAAAACGTAAAAAGGAAATTGCAAAACAGAATCTCTCCATCATGCAGGGGACTGAAGCTTGTGATCACAAACAGATTTTAGAAGTTCTGACTCCAGAATCTCATTAACACCAGTCAGGTGTGCAAAACTACAGCAGTGCATAATGCATTGTCCTTCAAACCAGAAAGGAACAACACTCTTTAGAGATGCTGATAGGTTAAATGGGGGTTTGGGAGTGAGAGTTCACAGAATTCACAGAATTCACAGAATTGTTAGGGTTGGAAGGGACCTCTGGAGATCATCTAGTCCAACCCTCCTGCCAGAGCAGGGTCACCTACAGCACGTTACACAGGACAGCGTCCAGGCGGGTTTTGAATGTCTCCAGAGTGGGAGACTCCACCACCTCTCTGGGCAGCCTGTTCCAGTGCTCCACTACCCTCAAAGTAAAGAAGTTCCTTCTCATGTTAAGATGGAACTTCCTATGTTCAAGGTTATGCCCATTCCCCCTCGTCCTATCACTGGGCGCCACTGAAAAAAGACTGCTCCCATCCCCCTGGCATCCTCCCAGTTATACCATTGGTTAAATGGGGGTTTGGGAGTGAGAGTTATACCATTATCACTCAGTAACTAAGAAACACATGGCAACAGATTAAGCTGAAAGGAACAAGATCTGAAAAAAATGAGTGACCTTCTCCTTACACCTTTTTCAAGCCACAGAGAGCTATGACAAACAGATGGAAAGATGATAATTCTAATTTCTAGGATAAAATTCACTCTGAGTCTAATTTTTTACACACAAATGCCCAACGAGTAGAAGCTTGACACCAACACATTTTGTATAGGTGATACAAAACCATATACCCAACTACCAGCAGTGGTGACTAATGTCTGTGTCACATAATCTCTCTCTCTCTCAATTATCTTTTTGATTCATTTGACTAATCATGAAAGTTGAACTTTAAATAACAACCTAAATGAAGAAGCTTATACAATCTGCAGTTGTCATGGGTGCCCTCCTCTGTGCTTTTACAGCTAAGGACTCTGAAAAAAGAAAAAAAAAACAAAAAAACGAGAGAAGGAGGGGAAACAAAGGGAAGGAAAAGAGGAATTAGGAACCTAGGATGAAGTCAGCTAGCAAAGCCAGAGGAAAAGAGTCATCTGTAGTACCTCATTAAAAATCATCAAAGTAGGGGGTCGCACATATAACCAGTTTATTCAGCCACTGTTGCCATCAGTAACTACTTCAAATGAGTCACTGCTGGAACTGAAAATCTATTTGATGTAGGGGTTCATGAATAAGTCAAAAAATGTCTTCCCCAACACTGCTACCTGCGCTGCCCTGAAGAGCTGTTGTAGATTCAGGTAGATAAATTGACCAAAAAAAAAAAAAAAGATATCTAAAATATCCATATCAAAGACAACGAAGTTTAGGAGAAAGCAACACAAATCTGAAATCAACCTCCTGCTTATATGTCATCACCAGAGGATGTGGTTGCCAATATACTCCCTAGGAGAGGGGGAAAAAAGATCTGGACATTATAGCCGAGTGAATCTGAATGATAATTTATTTAACTTCTTTCTGATAATGTACCTTACCATCCCATTTTATGAAAGGTGATATTAACTTGGGGGAGGGGAAAGTAAATCTCTGAAGTGACAGCCTAAAAATGAGTAAAGAAAATGGTTTCTTTGTATTTATTTCCTGCTTGACAATTTATCTTGTATTTCTCTCATAAGTTGTGTTTGGAGAGTGTTTTATTAACCAACAAAACAACAAAACCCAGAGCCTACTCACAGAACAAATTCTTTCTCCTTTTGTAAATACTGCAGTCTGTTTAAAAATGGAGGACAAGTGAAGAAGATCCAATACCAGAATCCAATTTTGGTTTATTTTCTACTGTTTAGTAGAGCATAAGAGCAAACACAATCAGCTAGCCAACGTCTGGTGCTTGATTCAGCAGCTTCTGTGTTAGAAGAAAGCATTTATTAGGGAAGTGTTGATAGCTTTATGAGATGTTGCTGTTACTTGGGTAAGCTGAGCTAGAGATAACTAAACTAGGACAATAAAATAGCTATTTCATTGAAGCTGGCATACCGTGCAGTTTCAGTCATGCACTTAGCTGAACTACTGAAATTATAAAAGTGCAGAGCTACTAATGAAAGGCAGTTTTTGCATCCCGACTCTGTGCGCAGCCTAGATAACGTGTTCTTTCAGCTTAAATATATACTTGATCATGACAAGATTAGCTAGTTGCTGTGACTTTGAAGCACAACCGATGTGAGAGAAAATCAGATTTCTAAATCAAAACAAACCATTCCCACTCCAGACAGAGTGAAAGTAATAGACTTGTTTAACCCCTGGAGAAGTCAGTGAGTTTTGCTAGTAATGTTAGAAAGAGCAAGATGATATATAGTATCTTTAGAGTCAAATTGAGTGGTAGTACTGGCTGCTCCATGTAAAGCAGAAGTAACTCCTGCCCACCTGAACACCTGAAGGCCTTTACATTAGGAAACCCACATTTTCTGTGCTGTGTTCATTTATTGTCATGCAGTCATGTATTAGCCAAGCAAACCCTACCATCCCAATAGCATGACTAGCTTGCAAACATTATCATGCTCTGGGAGAAGTATGGGGAGCAAACAGTCCTTGGCTTTTTCTACTGACATAAGGAAACTTTCATTTGTTTGGATTATCATTCCTCACACTGTTAAGCTTGCAAATATAAATTCAATAAAGGAGAGTTAGCTCATAGCTTACTGGTCTTTCTCATCAAAACTTGGAGCTTTACATTCTGTTTAGCTAGGGTCAGCTAAGGTCTGCAATTAACCCTTCTCAGTTACTTCAGATGGCGCTTGCTGAAATGCAAACAACTTGTATTATACCAGAAGTAAAACAAAACATCAATTTAATTTGCTCTTGCTATACAGTGCAGCTGTTATATAGAAGTGCCCCAAAGGCCAGGCTTCGCTAAAAGTGAATCTTTCAACCTTCAACTGCTAGAAATGCTTGTCTGGTTAAAAGATAGGAATCCTTAAAAATGTGTAATAAAAGCTTTGTCTTAGTTTATCTTTCCAGTTTTTAGCCTACTTCTTCTAATGCACAATGTTTCCTTCTTATCAGTAGCCTTGAATTCTGAACACAAGAGATGGCTCATTTTTGAAAGAGTAAGACAAGTCTTAACTTTGAATGGGATGATCCAAAAGTACATCAGGTATGAAATAAGCAGTACAGGAAAGTCAGTCAGAATGTTTTTATGAAGCTGCAAATCAGCATCAGGTAGTTGCATGAGATAGATAACTGCGTTACTGCCAGTTCACATTTTTACAGCTAC